AATAAAAATGAGAAACTAAGTCCCCCGGGAGAGTGCGAAAGTTCTCTTTAATACACCACATGAGAAATCAACCAACCCCAACACCCACCCACTCCACGAAAAACACATACATGAAGAACAGAAGGAATAAAGAGAGAGAATAAACAGAGACAAACATCTTGTAGCATGATGCAATTGAGGATAGTGCATACAAATACACAAACTATCCAATTTATACAGATCTAAGTACAGGTGTCAAAAAGGGCGAGGCAGCCCTGGCCTATGGAAACCCACCCTTGTTTGGCCCAGCTCTGGTGTAGCCCATCTGAAGAAGCAGGCTGTTCTGGGCCTGGAGGTCAATGCTCGCAGCCCACGTGGGGCCTTTTTCAATTTCATTGTTTCTTTCAGAAAATTAACCAAATGAAAAGAAATAAAAAACGAGAGAGAATAAAAGTGAACTGTTGGATTCAGTGGACCCCCAACATAACATGGGTAGAGGGGCCTCAAATTTATGGATGGGCCATTCATCCCACAAAAAAATGCAGGCATTGTCAGGCCTCTGGGCTGGGAACAACAACATTACTATGAGTATGGACCCCTAGACCTTCCTCGACGATTACGTGCTCTGATACAGGTTGACAGGTTTTCCTAGTGTTAGAGGGCACTAGCCTTCGTTTGCCACTTTACTTTTGATTGGAAGGTAGTACCTCCTCATTTAATGCTTTCTTTACATTTGCTGCTTTCTTTTACATCAGTTTATTTCCCCCTCCCATGTACTTTGGCGAGTTCCACATATATTATGATTGGGACATCATAAATCCCATCATCCTTCTCTAGTGGAGACAAATACACTCAAGATGAGTTGTATTTTAATAAAAAAAAGTGCGCATAAGGCACACACCTGTAAATTTCATGTTAATATGGCTTTCTTGTCTTCTTATGACTCGAGGTATATATTTCATAATACAGTTCAACCAAAAGAAGTTAACAAATTTTAATTAATTGCATATTGTGAACTCAAATTCAAGACTAGGTAACAAGAACTAAAGACATCTTTTCAGATTTTACTCATTGCTCAAAATAAGAATGGTGCAGAAGCGTTTATGAAATTTTTATAATAAGAGTTATATAGTAATTAAAAACAATATTGGAATAACGTGCTTGAATATTATTGAATAATAATTGATGTTATCTAAAAAGTGCACAATGCCTCTATATTTATAAGTTAAATCTATGTTGCTCGGACTCGGGTGCGAGTGTCGGATACGGGTACATATCTAGGAGTCGGATCCTTCTCATTTTAAAAATTAAGATACGAGGATACGATTAAAAAGGATCCGAATTTTGGATACGAGTACGGGGGTACGTCTTACAAAATATTTTTAAAAATGACAAAACAATTTATTTTATTTTATTGCAGTATAAGTATTTTTAGTTTTATAA